CCCCCCCCCTTGTGGAATCTGTCTGTGGGTAGAGAACACGTCACATGCCCAATCAACGCAGTGCTCCGCAGAGCCGCCTGAGGATTCCTATTCCCTCACGCACCTGCCTAGACGGCGTCAAACACCATTGAATGTGGTCAATGGCATTACTCTGATGGAGGTCCTTGAGAACTTTCAGTATTCTTGGGAGTAGAAATGGGGTTCACAGAGGGAAATGGGCGTCATTGACGAGGACCGAAGCTTTTTTAAACTGCTTATAAATGATATTGAACCAGGGACGAAGTGGTCGGAAAGTCTTGGCGGGAACAGTGGGTTGCGCTCGATGATGAACATAATCAGCACGAAGCGAAATGGAATGAATACGGATAAGGCTGATTACGTTCTTTGGGACACCCTGAACAGCCTGGTCATATGTGAAGACTTTAGCGTCGGTATTTTATTACAGGTGGCGCAAGTGGAAGTGGATGACAATGATGAGATGCACATTGCGTATGACCACTCTACAAGTGGAAGGATGAACAGGATCTGTAGGCTCTGGTTTGAAATGTGCAACACTGTTTATCACGCTCCACAGACAATGATGACTGATCGGAAAAAAACATGACGCCTTATTTGCCGCGAAGGAGCATCTGAAGATTCATTGCGTGGTCTGCACGTACTCGCTGATGGAGTGCCTGAAGAATCCGGGATATTTTGTCCACCATCAATGATGAGATTGCCAATACCAGCAGTCTCTGTGGCAGCAAGACTGCGGAGAGCATTTTGTTGCGTATCGATCGGGGAAAACCGTGTGTATCCTCCGAAACCTCACAACATCCGTCAAGGACTGACGCTTCCTCGAGGAATTGGAGGAATTATTCCCAGGAGGCCTTCATCAGGCCGCCAGGGCGGACGTGGAGAGCTGGGAGCGCAGCCATAGGATAACAGTTCTAGCGGTTGCTTCCACAAATGTCTCACGTGGTAGCAGCGATGAGGTGCACCTCGAGCGGCCGCTTGAGCCCCCATGCACCTCATTGACCGCCGTGGTGTCATGAGCAGTCTCAGGAGGAGTGGATGCCTCCCCAGCAACGACATCCTTGTGGTGGGCGCGCGAGAGCTCAAAGCAGATTTCTATACATCATACTACCCTCCCCACACGGTGGGCGTAGTTTCCGAGAAGGGTGAGGTACACTGTGCAGGCTTTCCTGCGTGGCGCACGCTGCGAAGGCGTTTATGTGATGATTAACCTGCCATTGTTGTGTATGGCTTTTTACCTTTTGGTTTTTGGGGCTCAGCTATCTATCTAAACCCTCCTTAAAGACTGCTTAAAGATGGAAAAAAAAGTCAAAAAAAAAGGGTTGGGGGGGGGGGGGNGGGGGGGGGGGGGAAGACTTTTCCTTATTTTATATCGCGCTTCTCTTCTTTATTGCTTTAATCAAGTGCGGCGTTCCTACTCCATGGATAGACTACATTCCCTTGGTTTGATAAACACAGCGCAGGTGTTTCTCCCTTCGGGGGCGCAGCTACGCGCGTTTCCAGCAGCGGTCGTGGAGGATGTAAGAAGTGTGGCAATCTCAGTGCTTCGGCGTCTGTTTTACCCCATTCTGCAGCGTTACGTTGCTGGACGGCAGCGAAGGCGGACTGTCGAGTCCATCCTGCATCGAGAGGAGATGGAGGATGGGATGATGAACTCCCTTGAAAGGCTTTCTGTCCTTTCTTCGTGCATACAGGCTGCAGACGAGACTCCCGAGATGACGGAAGCCTGGTTGGCGATGAAGCAGGCACTGAAGACAGCAAATTTCCGTCTGTTTTTGCAACGTGAGTTCATTCAGTACCCCGGTGAGCCGTCCAGTGGTGTGATCTTGCTGCTCTCCGGCACTGTGAAGAAGCGATCATTGGTTGCGAAAGGTAAAGGGAAAGTGTCAGTTGAGCGAATTCCCTCGCGTCCTTCAACAGCACCTGCGTCAGTTATGCAATATGAGGAGTCATCCCAAACGAGTCGCGCGTCATCCACTACAGGAAGTGGACGTCGCGGCAGTTCGTTCAGTATGCCTTCAGACCACGCAGTGGCGGAGAGCTTGCTACATGCCCCTGCTGTGTTCGGGGAGTGCGCTGTGGTGGGCGGTTACCCCTGTACTGAGTACATGGTAGCGGACTCCTCATTTGTCCTGACTGCGTGGCTATCGAGGAATGCGTACTGCACTCTGCTAGAGGCCTTCCCCAAAGGCGTCCAGAAGCGCTTGCTGTTAAAGGCACTCGAGTCCCGAGGGAAGCTACTTCCGCAGTTTGCTCCCATGACTTGTGGACGCATGCGTATTTGCCCTCTGCTCGCGGGGCTAAGCGATGAGAACCTGCAGCATCTGATGGACTATCTTATTCCACAGGTGCGCCCCGCTGGTATGCAAATCGGTGAGCTTGGCGTCCCTGAACATATTTTCTTTGTTCGGCGGGGTGTAGTGCATCTACAACAGGATGAAGGATTTGTGGCAGACCTGAGTGCTCCAACGCAGCCAAAGAGCCGCAGCCTACTTCTAGAGGGCCACACATTTGGTGAGCGGCAGTGCATTTTTCGCGAGGCATTGGGTGATACCATGCACACAGTGACTAACGTGGATCTCTACCTTCTGCCGTTCTCGGTGCTCATTCAGTTCATGAAGCAGGAGCCCGACGCTCGTACGTCCATCTTTTCTTCTGCAAAGGCTGCCTCCCTTCTTCTGGAGAAGGAGTACCGGGGCATGCGTTTCATTCCTTTTACGGTAGACCATATCGGCACCATTCTTCTGAGATCGGCAAGGCTTTCCAAGTGGTTTAATCGTCGTGTTAGTATTTCTACCGCGTGCTCTACGCGTGCGACTCCTTTTGGTGCTCTGCGACTTGACGGAGAACACTTAAACGGTACTGAAAATGGTGATGCGTATGGTGTGTCTCCACACTTCCTTGAGCAGGTGCGTAAGATCCCATTACTAAACCTCTGTTCACCCGATGATGCCTTCTACAAGGACTGCGCACGCCGCTGGAGGATGCTGTCGTATGAACCCGGCGACTACATTGTCCGCCGCGGGGCCGATTGCAACCGACTGCTTCTCTTCACTCAACGCGGTGCCAGTGTCTTGCTGGACGAGAACGCAGTGAAGCCCGATGCACGTGGTGGTATTCTCTCGCTTACGGAACTGGACCTCCCACGTGTGCCGCAGGGATCTATCGTCGGCTACACATGCGTTCGCCGCCACCCGTGGACGCACAGCATCGTCGCAGTAGACGGCCAAATAGAGGTTTGGGAGCTGAGGCGGGCAACTTTCGTAGATCTCCTCCGCAAGCATCAGCTTGAACGGAAGATGCAAGAAGTTGTCCTGCAGATCCTACAGCCATTGATGCAGAATCCCGGCCGCTCAGTTGCCCTCGACTACCAGCCGCTGCTTGCGCCGTCACCCAACTCGTTGTGGAGCGAACACCGCATTCCTAACATGCACCCTGTGAGTACCTGTGAGTACCTGCGCTTCCCGGTGTGGAAAGAGGGAGACCTTCCGCCTGACTCACGCAACCTGAGGTCCCGACCTAGTGTAAGTTCGCACTCTCTGAGCGCCCAAGAGAGTCGACAAATGTGGACATGAGTTGCTGTGGTTGTGGACAGGTGTTGAGTGCAAGGGGAGTGGTGGATTGGGGAAGGATGAGGGTGCGTCGATGCAATAAGGTTTCTGTGGAAAATAAACCCAAAGAGAAACACGATTTAGACATGTAGTTTTTCGTTCGGTGTGTGTGTGGGGGG